CAGAGAGGGAGAGGGGCTGTGTGCTGATGACTGGGGTGGGGCAGGCTTGTAGGAGATACCCTTTGGTTTGTTGATGATGCATGGAAGGGATTGTAACCAGGGCAATGAAACGATATAGGATGAATGTAAAACTAATGTTCTCCCATGTAAACTATCACATAATTAACAAGAAAACAACAACAAAAAAGACCTTATGTCACAGATTTGCCTAATGCAATACGTCGTTTGATTTCTTGACTGCTGCTTCCATGAATGTTGATGGTTGATTTGAGAAAAATGAAGTCTTTTACAACTTCAATCTTTTCTCCATTGATAACGGATGTTGTTTATTGGTTCAGTGGTGAGGATTTTTGTTTTTTTTTACATCAACATGCAACCCCATCCCGAAGGCTGTGTGTGATCTTTGACCTTCATCAGTAAGTAGTTTAAGTCCTCTTCAGTTTGATGAACAAAGCTCTTATTCTCAGAGTTTATGTTCTAGTCAGGTAGTGGAGAGACAAGTACTGGTCATTGTTAAAAGTGCCGTCAAGTTGGTTCCAACTCATAGTGATCCTGTATAGGGTTTCCAAGGTGTGGCTGGTGGGTTTGAACTGATGACCTACAGATCCACACCAGGGCTAGTTGCTGTGGAGAAAAACCAAGAAGAGTGTGAGTGAAGAAAGTGGTGATTATAGTGAAATGTTTAAGTATCAAAATGAATATTCTAAAAGCCTATGGGAAAGCTTTCTCAAAGGAAAGAGTTTTAGAGCCTTGGAAATCCTGTACATGGTCGCTGTGAGTGGGAACCACCTTGATGTCAGACAACAACAATAATATTTAAGATCAAGTTTTCTCAAGAGTTTTTTGAGATATGTTGAAGTATAATAGAATAAAGATCTGCTGTCTTACAGTTACTTTCAAAACTGTCCATTGAACAAAAAAGGTCACGTGCCAGAGCCTAGTATGTCATTTTCTTTGCTTTTCATTACTTTTATATAAAAATTGTTTTTACTTTCAAGTCCTTTTAAGTTTTCCATTTGAAAAGCTTTATTTGGAAGAGAGAGATTAACCATTTTAGGAGTTCCAATGGACTATGAACTGCAAGGTTGGCAGTTCAAACCCACCAGTTGCTCCTCAGAAACCCTATACAGGGTCGCTATTAATCGGAATTGACACGATGGCACTTACCAACAAGGTGGCACAGGAGGAGATCTAGTGGCACAGTGGCTTAAGTTTTGGGTTGCTAACCAAAAGATTGGCGGGATTAATGCCCCTAGCCACTTTAGCCGGTGAAAGTTGTGACAGCCTGCCTCCATGAAGGTTATAGCCTGGGAAAAACTTGGAGCTGTTCTACTCGTCCTATGGGCTCATTTTGGTTAGAATCAACTAACTCCATGGCACTGGGTTGAGTTTGGGGGCTGACAGTTAAGTGCTCAGCTACTACCTGAAAGGGTAGTGATTTGAACCCATCTAGAGATGGTCTGGAAGAAAGCCTGGGTGATCTCCTTCCTTGAAAACCTAGGGAGCAGTTCTACTCTGCACACATGAGGTAGTCACGAGTTGGAATTCACAGTGGTTTTGAGTTCTTTTGTCGCCATTTTGAAACAGCTTTACTAATGAGTTCTGTAATGCGCCACACCTTATGCAAGAAAATGGAGCAGGAGAATTCCTAAGGGAGATTAATTTTTATCGTATGGTGTCAAGAGCAAATCTGAGGAATGTTTTTCCTCTTAG